ATGGTAGTCATTTATCACCATCAGTAGCAATGTGGAAAATGGATTAACAGGGACAAAATGGGAGGCAAGGAATCCAGTGAGAGAGTTACCATAATAACCAAAGAGATAAAATTTGAATTAAAGTGGTGATGGAAAGGTCCAGGAGATGATGGGTTCAAAACATATTAAGGGGCTGCCTGGCAATCATGGCTCAGTGGTTGAGCGTCGACCTATGAACGAGGAGGTCAACGTTTGATTCCTGGTCAGAGCACACACGTGAGTTGCGGGCTTAATCCCCAGTGTGGGGCGTGCAGGAGGTAGCTGATCCATGTTTCTATCTCTCTCTCCCTCTCCCTTCCTCTCTGAAATCAATAAAAATATATTTTTAAAAAACCACACATATTAAGGGGCATATATTTTAGAACTTTGGAACACTATTGGGAGGGGAGTGAGGGATGAGTTTGGTTCACTGGATAAATGATAGGGGTTATGGGAGAAAAAGCATACTAGACATCTCACAGATAGATACCTTTCATTCAATACCTTAGAAACAAAATTCATTAATCTCTTATAAATCCACTCGTCCTTACATATATCTGTGAGACCATTCTTTATGGTTTTTCTCCTCTAACTCTCTAGCTACTCCATCACATTCTACTCCTCAGGGTCCTCTTTTCCTCTTTTGTCTCCTAAATATTTGTGTTTCCAAAGTGTCTTTTCTCTTCTCACTTTTCACTCTCTTGAGTGAGCTCATCTACTCCCAAGGCATTAATTAGCATTCACTTGTTTACTGATAACTTCCAAATTCCTATTTCTGACTCTGATCACCTGCCTCTGTTCCAAACCATTATATCTGTTGTGTACCCTGGAACATCCCAGGGGGATTTTCACTCAATGTGTTGAAAACCAAACTCACTTTCCTACTAATCTCCCTACCCCTTACATGTACCAATTAAAAAACAAAACAACAAAAATACAAAACAAAAAATCTTTCCTTAGACATTCTCTCACCTTCTCGACCCCTTGATTCTGTGACTACATAAATTATGCTTCCTCTCCAATCTTAATCCAAATCTTCCATACACCTATATAGTCTCTATTTTTAGTAAAGTCTACTTTTTAGCACTTTTATGACATTTCTGTCTTATTATCCCATTCTAAAATACATCCTTACCTTTCCAATGTAATTTCTAACTCTGGTTAAAAGCATTTCAACTGAAATGAATGTCTCAGCTTCCTTCTTCATCTTTAAATTTGTCTTTTTTCCTCCATCTTGAAATTTCTGTCTTTATTCCTCCATTCTCTTTTTTATCCAAAACTAACTCTTCATTTGCATTCTTGATGCTATTCCCCTTCTCTCATCTGCAGAGACCTAATTTATGAGAATAGAAGCCTTATCTGTTTCATCTGTTTCCAGAACAGTGAGTGCCTAGCACATGGTAGATATTTAAAAACATGTATTGAATGCATTATTAAGAAATTACTCTCTTTTTCTGTTGCTTTTTTAGTTTCTCTCCTCTTCCTCTACATCAAATTCTTCTGTTAAGTCTACAAATACGTTTAAACCTTTTTACAAGAGAGAAAAAATAAAGAGACCCATACAAACTTTCTCTTGATTCTATCTTTCCAAGCTATTGGCTATGTCTTTCTGTCTACCACCAAGCTTCTTTTTTTATATATAGATATATTTTTATTGATTTTAGAGAGGAAGGATAGGGAGAGAGAGACAGAAACATCAATGATGAGAGCGAATGATTGATCGGCTGCCTCCTACACACCCCTCACTGGGGATCAAACCTGTAACCCATGCATATGCCCTGACAGGAATCAAACCATGACCTTCTGGTTCATAGGTCAACACACAACCACTGAGCCACACAGCCGGGCATACCACCAAACTCTTTTAAGTCACATCTGCACCACTAACTTCACTACTTCAAAATGTGGTTTTTCTCCCAAAGTGCCTCAAAATCATCACTGATTTCTTATACCTTTTTCTCATCCCTCATGCTCTTTTTATTGGTCCTATATAGTTTTTTAAATGTTTTGTATTGACTTT